TCCGGAAGGCCACAGTGGAACCAGAGCGACAGAGTACAAAGGTGGAGCCGGAGGGAAGGAGGAGCCAGACAGAGCCAGAGGGACGGAGTGACGGAGTGACGCGGCGAAGCCGGAGGAGTGGAGTCCCGAGGCGGCGGATGGTCGACGACAGACCAAAGCGGAGCCGGAGGGACGAGGGGGCCCGTAGGAGCCAGTGGGATGATGGGCCACAGTGGAGACGAGGGAGCTAGGAGCCAAGATGGAGCTGATGGGTCGAAGGACCGGGGTGGAGACCAGGACTCGGAGACTGGAGGCGGAGACAAGAGATCCTCACGCCTAGGCGGAGCTGGAGACTGGAAGTCCCGAGGCAGATCAGAGCGCCCAGATGGCGCTGACTGAGGGTGAGCTGAGGGACTGACAGGCACCAGCGGAGATAGGACTGAGGAACTGGCTGAGGAGGCGGGAGAGGGAGGCTGGGAAGGAACACAGGAGAACTGGAGCTGGGCGGAACCAGCGAAGACGCAGAAGATTCAGGGCTGGACGGAACCAGCGGAGACACAGGAGACATAGGAGACTCCCGGGATGACGGCTGGCTGGTCTCTGGTTTGAGAGTGGGGCTGGAGATGTCCTTATCAGCGGGGCAGACGGAGAAATACAGTCCATTATTCTCCAGCACCCACTCCACAAATGCGGCAAAATTGTCCCTGGGACCATCTGCTGGAACGCGTGCCTTCGACCGCTCACTCAGGTTGGCGTGGTAAAAAAACACAGAGTGAGCGATCAGGGTAATGAGTCAGGCACGCGAGATGCAAAAAGTCCCGTGTGTGGTCTTCCAGTGGACGGTCACCCTGCTCCAGGCATAGCAGGGCCACAGCAGGAATGTCCATGGTGACAGAAGAGTGGGGAAAAAGGGAACAAAATGCCACAAAAAAAAAACTGTAGTCGGTCCGTTATTCTGTCACACATTGGTGATACAAACTGCACGAGGACGAAGGAGCTCAACGAGAAGTCTTTTAATCAGATAAATCCAGGAGAACAGGCATGGAAACCAACTTAACATAGATGGAGAACGGACAAAGACTAAGGGAGAACTGAGGACTTATAAGCATGAACCAAACAAAGGGAACTAATGAGATGATTATCCGACAACAGGTGAACTGAATGACATAATCAGGCAACTCAGGAAAACTAGGTCACAATGGAGAGAACAGAAAACAAGGCATACATGTAACAATATCAGTATTTGTTTTTCCTACAATACTGTAAAATGTAATTGATTTCTGTGAACAAAGCTGTATTTTCAGCATCATTACCCCAGTCTTCAGTGTCACTTGATCTTCAGAAATCATTCTAATATGCTGATTTGCTGCTCAAGAAACATTTCTGATTATTATCAATGTTGAAGACAGTTGTGCTGCTTAATATTTTTGTGGAAACCGTCATACATTTTATTTTTTAGGCTTCACAGATGAATAGAAAGTTGAAAAGAACAGCATTTATTTGAAATAGAAATTTCAAATAGAAATGTCTTTGCTGTCACTTTTGATCAATTTAATGCATCTTTGATTAATGAAAGTATTAACTTCTTTTAAAAAATGACTTACGGCAAACTTTTATTACATAGTGTATCACAAAATGATGAAGCAGCACAAGTTGAGCGTGTGTTTCTGTGCTCTGACCTGCGTCTCTTTCAGACAGAGGTCGGTGGCCAGTCGGTTGCGCTCGGTCTTGCTGATGTATTTCTGCTTGCGGAAGGTTCTCTCCAGCTCTCGTCTCTGTTCCTCAGAAAACACAGCCCGCCGCAGGATTCCCGGCTGAGACCTGGAGCTCAGCGCTGGACTCCACAGCACAGACCCCACGCCCTCTGCAGGACACACACATCACGATGAGAGGAGACAGGGTTTCTTTTATTTATGGACTGTATGTATGTATGTATGTATTTATAGGGAATGTATAGGATTTATCATGTAATGTGTTATCATGTAACATTATCTTACTTGCTAAGGGGATAATATTTTTTAAATATTTATTTTTTTTATTTAATTTAAATAAATACTTTTAAATGTGTTTATTTATTTTATTTACTTATTTTTATATTTTTAGGGAATGTATAGGATTTAGCCCATTTACTATATTTTATTTATAGTAAATGGATAGGATTTATATATATAAAAAAATTCAAAAAAAGTGAAACCTCTGTAAGAATTTTTTTGTTGTTGTTTGTATTTATTTATTTATTTATTTATTCATTCATTTAGATCAGGAATGTGTCGGATTTAGCACTTCTAAAGGTATGTTCATTTTAATGAATTATTTTACTTTATTTTATTTATAGGAAAGTTATTTATCCTAAGGGTAGAAAAATGTTTCTTAAAAAAAAAAGTGAAACATGGCCTCCGTTATAATATTTGTGCTTGTTTGTTTTTTTGTATTTATTTCTTTATTTATTTATTTTTATATGTTTTATAAGGAATTTTAGGATTTAGCCGTTCTAAGGGTATTTTTATTCAATATTTAGTTTAATTTTATTTTATTTTATTTTATTTATATGAAATGTATAGGATTTATCCTAAGGGTATAAATAGATATTCAAAAAAGTTAAACCTTTGTTTATTTTTATATTGTAATAGGAAATTTTATTTTATTTTATTTTATTTTTTTATTTTATTTTATGGCGATAAAAGATTTATCCTAAGGGTAAAAAAAATATATCCAAAAATAGAGAAACATGACCTCTGTTATAATGTTTTTGGTTGAGTTTTTTTTTTTTTTTTTTTTTACAAAATAGCGAATTTATAGGATTGATCCCTGCCGAGGGTATAAATATGTTAATTTGTGGCTAAATATTCATTATGTAATTTATGTGATTATTTAAGTGCGTCACATTGCAATTTCGCTATACTTTTCAGGATAGCAACAATCTGACTTTCCATGATTCATCAGTGCCATGTTTGCATTAAAAAACGGAATGAACTTAAAAAAATAAAAATACACACACACACAGGCCTAAATGAATGAATAAAACTCTCAGGTGCTCTGAACACATTCAGCGATGCCTTTTTAATGTGTTGGACAAATCGCCAGAGCGGCCACCGTCAGCGGCGTGAGTAAGCAGGTTAGTCATGCTCTCTGCTCGCTATTGAGTCTAAATAGTTTCCACTTAAACGCCCTGTTAAAGGGTCAGTTGACCCTCAGCCACGCCCACACGCCCGCAACAAATGATGCATATCGCATTATCTTCTGCTCTCAGTGTTTCCTTTCAAGAGATGGACGCGTCTCATTCTCTGTACGGGGAGATGAGCTGGAAAAAAGTCTATAAAAGTCATTTCTATTGAGGGCCTCATGTCTACGGGGGCCTGAAGTGGACAGAATGGACGGATGGGGAGGGGAGGCCGGCTTTTAGAGCTCCGCTTTTCATTAGCGAGAACAAAAAGGCTGGAGAAGTGATTCCGATTAGCGACTCACACCCACGGCTCAGCCGATCCCGGGTCAGCGGCGGGGTCGCATGTGTGCGGTCGCTCTGAATGCGTTGATTGGTCACGGAGAAGAGCGCCGAGAGCGCTGTGGGAAAGTGTCAGAACACTAAACTGTTTTCAGGGAGGCTTTTGAAACACCCCGATCTGACAGATCTGGATTTGCCGAGGTGTTGGCACTTGGAGAGAGCAGAAGCCCAAATGGAAGAGACTCAGTCATGCGATAAAGATATCGTTGAATTCACTAGCATGCTTTATTTACAGTCATACTCATAATAATGTACAGTGAGGTCGTTTGTTTAAACCTGGAAATAAAGCTGAAGAACTTTTAAGAATTTAGGACAAAGTTATGACATAAAATGAAGAGGAAATATAGAAATAAAATATTAATATTTTCATGTATACATATTAATAAAAAATAATTAAAATGATTTTTATATACAAGAAAGCTTATGACTACTTTATATATAAATAAATAAGACATAATTTTA